TTACCCACTCACCTGTGAAATTTCACTTGCACTTAGTCACACAACCTTTTTTAATCATCTCTTTAATAATTAGTGAATATTTGGATCTGCCTCTGATTTTATTTTCATGAAAATTAGCAGTGATGAACTTCTTGGGCTAAGATAATGGCCTTTCACTTGTTCTTCGTCAGAATCCCATTCTTCCTTGCTTGCAGGTTCCTTACCTTGCTATCTTTATAATTCCCTTGAGGCCTCTTTCTCACCGTCTTCCCACTGATGAACATTTAATCTACTTGTAATACTTTCATTATTATTTCTTGTAACACTTTTATTTTCATCCCACAGCCCTGGCTGTTGGCTGCTTGGCAAGGCTATCCTGGCATTTTCTGAAGGAATTGACTTCAGGATAACAACTGCTAGTTACAACTTAAAACGAGTGACTAGTCACAATTAATTGCCCAGGTACTAGCTTTCTTTGACCTTGTCTGCTTAATCATGCTTATTTAAAATGCAACTGAAAAATATGTCAGTTTTTCAATAGATTTCATGATACTGTAGCAGAAAAAAGATATAGAGAGACATATATAGCTATATAGATATATGTAGATATATACATATAAAATGTCATTACTGATCTCCTTGCCAGCACTAAGGATTTTCAAGCAGCTGCCACTCTTAATACTGCCCCTTACTAGAATGCTTTAGTGGCTTTTGGATTACTATGAAAGCTGCCCGTCATTGCAGAGTTAGATTCCAATTAACTACTTCTGCCCCAGCTTGCTTGAAAAAACAATTCATGGGATTTTTCAGGGAGCAACACATCCTCCAAAGAACAATTTTCCATCATTCTCTGTGTCAAAGAACTTCCAGATCAAAAGCTGAAACAAAGTCTGTTGACTTTATCAAGACAAAATGCTGTGACTTCACTCAAATGAAATGTTCTGATAAGGCCACTTTGGTATTCCCAGAACTCAACTTTGGGGAATACTTGGTATACGGGGGAGTGTGAATTCTAACTTTTCATCCAACTGAGATGGAAGCAAATTCAGATGGCTAATATTTTTTTTCTCCCCCAGAACAGAACTTCAACATTTCAACTAGCTTACAACAGATTCCCATTTACAGTGCGGATTTCCTGTCTGCTCTACAACCTTCTCTAGGAGTTTGAGGCTAAAACTTTCTGCTCTCCTCCTCAGTAGATCAAATGACTAAAACAGTATCTGATCTGTAGTAGCCAAGGGCTATAGTTTTAAAAAAACTTCATTTCCCTCTGCCTTTTATTTTTGTTTGCCCAAGGAAGTGTAGAAAAAGCAAATATTATCTACAGACATTTTTTTGGTTTTCAGGGGCCACATGCACAAAGTTCCCCCCTCCTTGGAGCTGCAACAACTTTCCCTGTAGCTCTCTGTGCTAACTCATGTATCCTTCCTCTTGTTATTTGTTGTGTGTCTTCCAAAACAAACACAACTGCAGAACCACAGGATAGCTTCAGATTGCAAGGCTTAGGATCAAAAACGACATCAGCTTTAGGCTGGAGGCAACACTGCTGCTCTTGGGGATTTGAGTTAAACCTCTCTAAAAGGCTGCTATTTTTTTCTTCCCCCTATAAATACTAGAACAATGTTCACAACAATGTCTTCATGTTTTTCAAGAAGCAGCAGCCACTTGATTTCTTGTTTTGATGAATAAGAATGTTCCTGCAGCAATTTTTAGTGGGAAAACTTTATCCTATAAATGCACTCTGAAAGAACTTTCTAGAGGATGTGGGATGATTATTGGTATAGTCAGGAGGGCAAAATCATGTTCTGTTGGGCTTCATTTGTGTGGGAGTGTGGGGAACTGGAATTCCAGTTCAGCTTGTTTCTGTGTATGTTAATATGTGGTCATGCATTGCACAAGATGGCATAACCCATATACTGCATTGCACTCAGCACGAAAGACAAAAATGGCTTCATATTATCTTAGCACTGTTGCTCGGTTCCTAAATAGCCTTTTCAAACAAGTGAAGTACCAGTTCCCCAGACACTACAGGAGAAGGAAAATGCACATGAACTCCAGCAAATCATCAGCAAGACAGTCTGTTTTAGAAGCTGAGCTTCAGCTAGTAAACTCTGAAGATTTGCTGTTTTAAAGATGAACCAGGAATATATGGAAATTTGTACCTTTTGCACAAATGTGAACCAGAATGCACAGGACAATCCATATGTTCTGTGTGATAATGTATTTGCTTACCTTCAGGGAAATCGGAGAGGCTTTGGGCAGAGGAGTGCAGGCAGACACGTGTTTTTTCTGCCTGCACTCTGAGCTGGCAGGAGAGGAGTCAGCTCCCGTCTGGAAGTTGCACCATCACAGTAGTGTGGCATTGTGACACACCTAATGCACACACCCACCTCCCAGCACTTGGTCTATGTTACAGTTCCATATTGTTCATTATAAGGCCCCATGACTCCAGTCAAACATAGGAAATGGATACAACTTCTTTGCAAGGTTATCAAATACATGAGCATCACACTCTGCTGAGTTAATCACATGCCAATATTAAGTTGGAAAAAGAAGAAAAGGTCTTAATATTTTTAATTAAATTTTCATCTCTTCAAGGCTATTCTTCTGACTCATCTGCTCTCAGCTTGCTTCTCAAGGTCTAGTCCTACTCGCTCTCCAGTCACCTGTACAGTTTCCCCATAAAAAGACAGCAAATATAACATGGTATTCCAATGTAAAACATAAGTAGAAAACTTTTCCTGACTGTAGGAAATTTCAGATTTCTTTCAAGGGACAGCTCTCAGGATTCTCTAATTGATGCTATGATTGTTGTGAAAGAGAGAAAAAAATCAGAATTGAAACACCGGAACTTGATATTTCTAAATGTTTACTCTGATTTAGTAGCTCTTCCCTTGATGATGTAACTCATGGCAGGTAGGTAGTATCAATAAAAATATTTTAATTCACACAAAGGTAATCTCAGTTACAGAAAGTTTGAAGTTGTGCTTCCTTGGTGCAGCTTAAAGTAAAGACTCAGTAGAACTGCCTAAATATTAGAAATAGCAAGCAACACATGATCTCATTTCTACCTGTTTATGATATTTCAAGAAGTTTCAGGGGCAAAAAAATAATTATGAAATATTTATGTATAATATTTAAATGTTACATTTAAAATAAAAAGATATACAACGGCTTTGGCCACAAACCAAGCTGACAGCGATAGCCAGCTGCCCAGGACTAGTGGGTCTCTCAACTCACTCTCGGAGGTGAATATAATACCCAGAAAGTCAGAATTCTCTAACTCTGTACCACATATAGTTTGACCAGGATGGTAGCACAAATGACCCCAACCTCCATTTTATGCTGTGGTTGGTTAAATCAGCTGTGGAAATGGGGCTGTAAGAGGAACAGGGCCTCTGTCAGGGGCTGTAAACAGCACTTCTGAGCCACTTCACTGTCTCAAGGATGTTTCAGATAGTGCTGTGTAATCACAGTCAAACAGCAGAGTTGAGAGGAACTGACATAATATTCAAGTATTTGTTTTCACTCTGAATAAGAAACAGATGAAATATGCAGAATTAAAAAAAAAAGTAAATAAAAATACTTGGAACGGTATCTAAAGAGTGCACTCAAAACAGAAGAAAGCACTTTCTCTGTTTGCTTTGAGAGTAGAAATAAAAAATGCAAGAAAGTTAGAGTGAGATATAAAAATGCAGAGGAGGGCAAAAAGCCCACAGAAGTGTGTCCCTAACATAAGAAGGGTATGGAACTGTTGGAGCAAGTCCAGAGGAGGGCCATGAAGTTGATAAGAGGACTAGAGCACCTCCCCTGTAGTGATAGGATGTGGAGTAATGGGTACAAATTGAAATAGAGGAAATTTAGGTTAGATTTTAGGAAGTAATTCTTACTGTGAGGGTGATGAGACACTGGAACAGGTTGCCCAGAGAAGCTGTGGATGCCCCAACCCTGGCAGTGTTCAAAGCCAGGATGGATGGGGCTCTGAGCAACATGGTCTAGTGGGATGTGTCCCTGCCCATGGCAAGGAGGGTTGGAACCAGATGATCTTTAAGGTCCATTCTCACCCCTTAACCCCTCTGTTTAGGGAAGTGTTCAAGAGGCGCCTAGATCTGGTGCTGGGTGATCTGGTTTAGTGGTTTAGGGGTTACAGTGGTAGTGCTGGGTGGACAGTTGGACTCGATGACCTTAAAGGTCCCTTTCAACCTTGACGATTCCACAAACATTCTATGTTAAGCTATAAAATAATTTCTAAATGGATTCAGTGAGACCAAAGAATTTGCTTTTATCTTCAAACCAGAACCAACAAAATGGGATGCCTGCCCTGAGGCCCAGAGCTGTCCTTAGTGCCCACCTCTACCTACATTTTGCCACCAGGCACGGGCTGCGCCCACCCCCGGGCAGGGGGAACCTGCACCGCCCGGGGGAGCTCTGCGGGCACACGGCTCTGTCCGCCCAGTGACAGGGCACAGGAGGGCCCAGCGCTGCCCTCGGGCGCCTGCCCCACCGCCAGCCCAGCCCAGCCCAGTCCCAGCCCCAGCCCAGCCCCAGCCCCAGCCCAGCCCAGGCCCAGCCCCAGCCCCAGCCCAGTCCCAGCGCCAGCCCAGCCCCAGCCCCAGTCCCAGCCCAGCCCAGCCCCAGCCCCAGCCCAGCCCAGCCCCAGTCCAGCCCACAGCCAGCCCAGCGCCAGCCCCCGCCCCCAGTCCCCAGCCCCAAGCCCCAGCCCAGCCCCACCAGCCCCCCCGCCCAAGCCCAGCCAGCCCAGCCCCAAGCCCCACCAGCCATGTCCCAGCCCCAGCCAAGCCCAGCCCCAGCCCCAGTCCCAGCCCCCCAGCCCCAGTCCCAGCCCAGCCCAGCCCCAGCCCAGTCCCAGCTCAGCCCAGCCCCAGCCCCAGCTCCAGCCCAGCCCCAGTCCCAGCCCCAGCCCAGCCCAGCCCAGCCCCACACGCACCCGCGCCCTCAGCGCCGGGGCGGCCGCGCCAAGGCCGGTGTGGCAGCGCCCCCCGGCGGCCGCGCCGCCCCCGGTGCCCGGCATGGCGGGTCCCTCAGCCCCGGCCGTGGGGACGCGAGGGCCGAGCCCCGTCTCCGCAGGGTGTCCGCCCTGCTCTCCCTCCGGATGGGCGGTAAGGACCTCGGTCATTTTAAACAGCGAAAATAACAGTGTGCGGGCCCCGCAGTGCAACCGGCGGGAGCCCACATCAAATGTCCGTGCTTAAATATTACCTGTAAAACACAGGTCGTATTTGTTATCATGAAACTTAAGATGACTCTCGTCAGGGAGAAACAGAGACCTTGAAGCAAAGTCATGGGTGTGTGTTTCTGGAGAAAAATAGGTTTATCTGATGGGCTATGACCAACTTTGTTGCTGTTTTTGTATGGAAAAAGCCACATTTACTGCATGAATATAAAATATGACGAACTGCAAAAAAATCGTATAATGAGGCTGCGAGTCAACTTCTTTTAAAATCTTTTGACTTTACTACATTTTAATTACTATAAAATAAATTTTCCCTTAATCTGTAAACCGTGTCACTTATCAGATGGCAACACATCTGTGATTATTATTCAAACCCAGTATAAAGCAAGGTTCTCTCAAAGAAGAACCATGAAGAACAAAATTAGAAAAATGAAAAGGTGTGCTGACATCCCACTGTACACCTACTGAACATTTAAAGGCTAAGTTCTTGTAAATGTCAGTCCTTTCAGGAGAGTCATATTACCCCCGCGATTTACTTAGTGTCTGCTGTGTGGCTGCACACAAGTTACATCAATTGGTCCATTTCATACTGGCAATCACTACTTTGTTGCTGCACAAATAAACATCCATCACTGAAGGTATGGAAATAAATACATATTCATTACATTTATCTAAATAAAATAAGTTGGCTTTTGGTGCTTATGCCTACCTGAAAACAATGAACTGTAGTTCTACACAGGGATGTTTTTGGACTGGCAACTACAAAGAAGGATATCACAATGAGTAGAAATGATTTTACTTGTCAGTCATGATTTTTAAATTAGTTCCTATAATGTATACTAAATATATCTACTATATCTTAAGATACCTCTTAAAAAGCAGACAAAATTTTAGGCTTACTAATCACTTTTTGCATTCTCCATCCTCATTTAACACTGCAGGTTATTATAGATATGGAACAGACAAAATATTGAGAATAAACAAGAAAAGGAGTAAATACAATATACACTACATTTTGTGTAGAAATCCAGGCTACAGAATTCCAGGAAACTGCTGAGGAAGGTAAAATATATCAAGCCTTTTCAAAAACAAACTAAAAATAATCCCATTGCTACTGACATCATTAAACTCGTTTATTGAGCAATTAGGGCACTGTCAGCTCTTCCAACATGCTCCAGAAATCACATGGAGAACCTCAATATGAAGTGACAGATTCATCATCAATGGAAGCATCTCAAACCACCATGTACTTCTTTGTATAGTCCTCCAAGCACAAACTTTAGTTCTTTTTTTCCTAAAGGAATTGAAAATAAGTGTTCCTATTTATGTCATCAAAAGATTCTTTTGCCCACTTTGCATAACTTGATTATCACACTACTTAGCAGCTGAGGCTGAGGCTGACTCTAACACTGCAAACAGTGGTCCCTCTCCAGCAGGAGGGGAAGGCTCTTGGTCACAGTAACCATTCCTCCCACTGCACTTGGAGGTAGCTCTGAGATCACATCTGCAAATCATTCAGATAAGTGACTTTGGTTCCACATAAAATAATGTCTTACAACTGTCCAGTTCTGGAATTTATATGTGGTTAGCGTGATAAATGGTAAATAATCTTATATATATATACACACCAGACAAAGTATAATCATGGGGTCAATGAAAAATGATAGTGAGGAATAGATATTGGGTGATAGCAAACAGAACATTTGTTGAGCAGCTCATTTGTAGCTGTCTGCAGACAGGAAAGGGAGGGTGAGAGCCTGCCCAGTGTTAGAGATAACAGCAGTATCAGCTATAAAAACTCTAGGTGTACTAAAAGCAAACAGAGCCTGAAGTCCAGATAATGTATATCTGTAAGTTTTCAGGAGAGGCACATCTGCAATCCTTTCACTGACATTTTCTAGAAGTTCACAAGAGTCAGGAAGAGATTCCTGAAGATTAAGAAGTAGCAGATTTGAATCTCACATTTTCAAGAGGGCAAAGGACAGGAAACTATAAACTAGCAAATGGAACATTGTAGATAAACCTGAACACTGCTTAAGTGATTTGGCTAAAGAACACCTGGAAAGGTTCACTCCGATTAAGGAAAGCTAGAATGGTTTATAATTCATTATATTGTTTGAGGTCTTCAGAGATATTACTGCCATTGGTGTTCTTTATAGGTATGATGACTGCTGTGAAATACATCCATTTGTATCATAATAATGTGAGCATGGTTACTGTGAAGCAACAGCACATACTATGGGTTTTCAGTGCTCCAGCTGAAGTTTCTGTGGAGCTGCAAGGTTAAATGTGAGACAGAAGCCACTCTTTTCGCTGGTAAGAAAGAGGTTAAAAACAGAGACTATTAGAATGCCTTTTTTCTATGGATAGAAATTCTTCTTTTTCTAAAATTCTATTTTCATCAACATTTGGGAACATTATATTAAATTGTTTTTAGAATAAGTATTTTATTCTTCCCTTGGTATATTGTATAGCAACTCAAAGAATCCTAGTATCTTGCAATCAGAGTAAAATTGATTTCAGTGGAAAAGTCCACTGAGATGGCAACAGATCCCCTTCCAACCAAAACTGAGAACTTGGGGCAGGGAGATGAACACATCTGCACCTCACACAGACCTTCTGCAAAGCCAGTTGTGCATTTGGTGTTGCTCTCAAGAGTGCAGGGTAAAATGGAGCTGCAGTGGGAACAAGTGTTTCTCCACCTATCCTGCTTGCTGAGGTGAGGTTTTCTTCCAGGCTTTACCATCTCAGGCAGAGACGATGTTTTGGTGGGACTCTCTTCTTACAGATTTTTTTCTCTTCTCTCCTGACAGTTGTTCTCCAGCCATTATTTTTATTCAAGTAATCCATACTGCACTACGGAGCTGTCCCTTTCTTCCCCTTCTGTCAGGATATCAATTTTACTTTCTCCACCAACCCCAGCCTTTTGAGTCTGGATGCTGCTGTGCAAAGCAGACCTGTCAGGGGAGGCTGCTCTGCTGGTACATCACAGGTTCACATACAATCAGATTTTCCAGCCCTAAAAGATACTGTGTTTGAGGAGCAAAAAGCAACTATGATTTCTGGAGACTTCTCACCTTCTAGCAATCTGATCAAACGGGGCTGGCTGCCAATAAAGAAGGAAAACAATTTACTACCACTGTGTATTGGAACATACTGGAAAATTGCTTACTGCTCAGCATTGTCATTAATTCAGCAATAGATATTTATACGGTTTCCATTTTCACAGGCTAAGGGCCAAATTCATCCCAGATGTAAATTCATTAGTGCCAGTACAGCTACACTGAGAATAAATTTGGCCCCGTGATTTTAGGCATGTGGGGATTCTACCGTAATCAATGTCTCTCTTTGTGCCAAACCATGAGAAGATCAATCTTTTGGAGTCACCTAACAGATCTTCCCTAACCATTCTTCGGAAGAGGTTATTTAAAATTAACCAACTCAAGATTGGGTACCTCTTCTGACCAGGAGCTCCACAACTGAGAGCACTTTTCCTGGTACAGTGTGAGCCAGGGACAGAAGAAGGAGGCATGTACGGCCCCATAGCTGTATCCCCCCATCCCTCCCTCAGGGTTAATGCATGGCTAAAGCCCAGGCAGACTGTGTGATAATTCACTCCAACCACCTCAAATGTGGTAACCGTAGTTGTTCTAGGGGTAGAGAGATCAAATAAGTGATCCTAAGAGGGGAAGATGGATTAAAATGTAGCAAGCAGAACTGTCATGAAGGCAGCGAAGAATACAGAGCACCAAATGTTCCCAGAATTTTCCTTATAGATAATTTACTGTGTAAAATTCAAATAGAATATCTTTCAGGCATTGTATAAATGGAAGCAAACCTATTTTGTGTGCCCAGGCTATCAGGACTTTTTAAAAGTACAGTGATGTCTCTGACACTGCACTCTAGCCTGAGTATTCTCAAGCTACTCAAGGTTTCATTCAGGTACTTGCCAGCGAAAAGTGCTGTTAGCATTTTTTGAAGAGTTAAATTTCTGAAGCCAGAAACTCTGAAGCCAGAAACTCTGCACTCAGTCTAGGCCTCAGTACGCTCAGCACCCAGTGTTCCTCCTGCGAAAGTTCCTCCTAACGAAAGTTTGAACAGCTTCTATAAAAACACCATTGATCAGGTTTTTCTATCCATAGCTCAGACGTGTCTTTCAAGACTCTATTGTGCTTTGGTGCTACCAGTGATGAGGATAACTTCATGCTTGTGTTTAGTCAATCCTTACATTGCCAGCTCAATTTCTCTTCTGAGGCAGTTAATTGATCTTCACACAGCCTTCTAATTTCAGTGTTACACTCAGATTAATGACAGTTATTCACTTCATTAGAGTTCTCTATGTGTATCAGAACATAGAATCAAGCTCAGATCTGGATCTAATTTAATTTCAGAATATTGGTATTTCCTTTTAAAAATTTGTTCTTTATCAGAGTTTGTACGAAAACAATACATTGTTTTTATCTGTTGCACAAAATGTTACATTTCACTCTGCACACTCATTTTCATGTTACTGCTCTGGGCCTGGCCTGAGTTTAAATGCTTGAAGTTAAGCAAGTGCTTAAATATTTCATGAGGTGAGATCCTCAGGCCTCACAGAACTACTGAAGAGACAAATAAGTCTTGTTTCTCTTTTAAAGAAAGGTGAATGAATGATACTCGTGAGAGTGTTTAGTGTCACAGAATTACTTAGGGCTTATTCTTGGACAGGAACTTTCTGTGGTTAAATTTGAAGACTTAAAATTATGAAGAAAAAAGCAAAGAACTATGTAAGTACGTATTTGGGTTGGATTTGGGTTTGGATTTTTTTTCTGTTCTTAAGTTCAATATCTGAAGCTGGAAATTTCAAGCAGTGTCTGGAGTGTTCAGAGGTTAGTGCACTGGCATGGCTGGTGGCAGATCCACAATGCTGGGAGGTCCCTGTCAGAGGAGATTTTCTGCAGGCTTTTTACAATGCTAAGCAGGTTGGTAGCTCACCCTTGTCTTAGGGGCCTCAGCTTAGGAGCTGTGGAGATGTGCTCTGTGTCAAGAGTACTGTGATCTGTTGCCACCTGCTCCCAATCCCTTCTAGTCTTGAATTCTTAACAGACATTTTCTGGATCAGACTGTCCCTCTTCCAGCTTTGCAGCAGGTTAAGGCAGGGAAAGGAAGAGAGTAAAGCAGGGCTAAGGTACACGAAAGTCCCCTCCAGGCAGTGACCCTTCTCGAGGTATCTCTTTCCTTTGGAGATTAGGATATAGTTTGTCCTGTGAAGATTGCTTCTCCATGTGCTGTGGCAGTGACACATTGCTGGAGAGCAGGGCAGTGGGCTGGGGGCAGAGTGGATGCCAATGTTCACTTTGCAAGGGAGAAAATGTTCATCTTTTCTCATTTCCTTCTTTTTGCAATGACAGAGGTCAACCTCAAGGTGTGTCTTTCTCATGAGTTTTAGCACTGGATGGCATCAGTAAGTGCTTTACTCCTCTCCTATACATTGTCAAAAGACAACATCTTACTGGGCATTTGTGGCTGTCCTCACATTCTGCACCAGAGATGGTTTAGCTATGTCAAATTTGGTCCATAATTTATAGTTTTTGCTTCTATCCTCTTTTTTCATCTTTCTGATGGTTTATTTCATTTTTTGTGTTTTTCTCAAATGGCTCTTTTTTCAAATGTTAAGAGGCTGTTTTCATATTAGTGTGTTTATATTTTCAACATCTGTTTATTTTACTGCAAAACACTCTGAATGGCCTGGCAAAAGAAGTAGCAACTTTTATAGCCATTACTTTAATTATTCTGATTTTTAACTTACAATGTATTTTTATGTGACTCAAGAGATGCAAACAGAAAAAATTCCAGGCCACACTTAATCAAATAAGTATTACTTTGTTTAACTGTATTATCAACAAGAAAGTCTGGTCTTGGCTCACTGCAAGCTGACTTTTATATTTATCACCAGAGGCTTTCAAAATTTCAGCCTACTTATTTTCAGGTAATGACACTCCAATATCCTGGCTTTCACTAAGAATGCATTCTTTTTTCCTTTTGAACTTAGGGGATTTTAATTACAAGATAATTTTACTGAA